AAACCCAACATGTTGCCAAATTTTAAGCCCAAAATATTAAAAAAGCCTTTAGAAACTCTAAACCCTAACCTAATATTCCCCCCCCTCATTTCTTTCACCCTAGCTGCACCTTACCATCTCTCCATCTTCTTTCTTTATTTTTCTTTTCTGTCTCCCTTTTTCATTTCTTTCTCCTGGACTCTAGCCGCACCTTCATTCTTCTCTCCCTTTTCTCCCCAGTTAGACCTTCATTCTGTTTTGCTCTCAAATCATCCTCTTCTTTTTTCTCCCTCTTCGTATTTGGCTACATCAATAGTAGCCCACAAGTCCTGCAAACCCTAAACTTTGCCCACACTTGCCGAGTGAAACCCCAAATGAAAAAAGTGAGCCAGTTTGTAGATTTTGTTCGATTTTTGTGTTGTGGACTTTTTGAAGACTTAAACTTTGATGTTTATTTTAACTTTGGAAGACTTGATTGATGATTCTAGTTGAACTTTAAATGTTTATTTTCATTGTCTTTGATTCTAGTTGGAATGCTTATGTTATGATTGTGTTGGAGATGTTAAAATTTCAATTTTCAATTTTTTTTCATTTTTTGAAAAAAAAAAATCGAAACCAAACCTAAAAAAAAAAGAACCAAACCAAACCAATTTGAACCGAACCCAGCCCTAATTAAACGGTTCGTAGGAGCGAACCAAAAAGCCATGAAATCCTCGTTAGGGTGGTAATTCCGTATGTAATGCTTCGAGCATAAGTCTTCGAATGAAGATCATGGTGGAGGCTTATTCAGCTCTTCCATGCCTTTGTTGGCTACATGGTTTCTCAGTTTCTTGATAGTCAAGTGGAGATTCACATCTTGTACCCCACATGAAGTGGTTTCTATTGGAAACGTCCAAATCAGGAAAATTGAACTTGTGACGGTTTGACAATCCATTGAGTGGAAAGAACAAGATTGTGATTGGTGCTATGGAAATAAAATATCCATAAGCATCAAAGTTAGAACATTCGAGTTCTAAGACATGGTATACATGAAAATTTTAGGTTTTCATGGGTGTATTGTTTTAAGAAAACTTCGAGTTTCAAGGGCACTAAATTTGAAACTATAGGTTCAATTTAGTTTATGAACGTTTAGTTCATAAAAGAGAGGTTCCTGCAAGAACACATAATACAATATGCTGATTTAAGTGTAGTGGATTTGAGTTGTTTCGGGAACTCAAGTGTGAGCGGTTCGAGACTACAAAGGATGTCAACGGTTCAAAGAAGAAAAATAAATTATTGAATCGTTAATGTCCAAAATTGATCTTCGGGCCAATAATTTTGGATGTCTTGTCAGATTAATGGACTGCTGGTCACTTTTAATTAATTCAATAGATCGAGACCATACGAGATTGATCGTGGAAGCAAAATAATGACATATGGGTCTTATTAGCTTCAACTAGCGGCGGGTCAAGTGACAAGTGAATTATAACTTAAATAGCGTTAACCAAAAAACGTCCCAAAAATTATTTGGGTATGGTTAAGAAACACGAGATGCCAAAATATGGCATCGGGTCGAAAGAGGAATGCAACCTAGCACATATGGGCTGGTTGCATTATACGGCCTTGCAAAAAAAATAAAAGTTGCAAGCCTTTGGGCTTGGGGACATGGCTGCAAGGCAAGGCGCATATTTGGGCCGAAGAGATGGGAAGAACCCAGCAGTGTATAGGCTGCTAAAGGCGGCCAATAACAGCGCTGGCTTGGTCAAGTGTTGGCTGGATCTTAAGAAAGGGGCCAGCAAGGCTGTTATGCGACCTAGAGGTGCTGCAAACCCATCAGGTTTAAACCCAGGCCAGGGGCCTAGTCCACACATGCAACAAAGCCCAAAGGGTTGTTGCCTTACGGTTCCAGCGCCTAAGCCTCGAGCTCCAGGCTCGGCTTGGGGTGAGGTTGGTGCGACGATGACTCAACTGTAAATTTTTCCCAAAAATTTAATTGTTTTTTTTATTCGAAATTCTTAGGGTTTGAAAAACCGTAATTGCTTCTAATTTCTTTCGATTCTTTGACTCACAAATTCTACATAGCAAAAATTGCGTAATGCATTGAAACATGTATATATATATATTGACAAATATATGAAACATATACAATATATATATATATATATATATATATATATGTGAAGGAAAATATAAATATAAGGGGTTCATGCATCATGAGGAATGTTTTTATGCTTCATGGACATTTCAAATATCTTCCTTTATTTTAAGCGTACTTGATTGACAGAAAACAACAAAAGCCTTTGAATTTGTAGAAGATCATTCTCAGAAAGTCGGAATTTCATCTCCAATGCATTCTATTACGTTCAACAAATAAAAAAAATTAAATTGAATCAATATCATGTAGATCAATTCAATAAAATAATAAATTAATTATAAAAAGAATGATTAAAACGTAATACTCCCCTGATTGAAGATCAAACTCGGGAAGATCAAACTCACTTAAGTGAAGCGTTAAGAGCGTGCTAATAACGTGTTGTAAGCCTCTTTGATTGAACTGTATTTATGACTAGTGAGGGAGAGAGGGCGGCGGCAAGAGAGAGAAGAGAGAAATTTAATTCTGAGGTGTGTGTTATATCACTCCATTGTGTATTTACTTATAGTAGTAGGGAAGATAAATTCCTTACCCCAATAAGATTACAACTCTAATAGGATAATATATAGTCTAAGAGATATGATAGAATCTTCCTAGATATGTTAATATTTACACAATCATATTCATAATCTAATAGGATTGCAACATAAATGATTTATACACTTGAAATAAAATGACTATTTAAAGCCCATAAACATAAAGACTTTTAAAAATAAATAAAAATCTGAATAGACCCCTTAAAAAAATTCTAAATACCATATCAAAATACATAAACCATACTCCATAACAAACACGGTTCCAAGTCTAAATTAAAATGATTTAAACTTAACCATCTATTCAACAAGCTACCGTAACGATACCCAAAACAAACTTATAAAACGACGCGTTTGACTCCGTCACCGCCAGCCTTCTGGTAAACATAGGTGAGACCACACTAAGCATGGTAGTGACTATCGAAATGGTTGGCTATGAAAGTTCCGGCGCCGCACTCAGCATTGGGGCACTCCTTGCTTAGCCTCTGGACCCTTCCTGAATCGTCGACCTTGTAGAACTGGAGGACGGTGAGCTTCACCTTCTTGTGTCTGTGCTTGATCTTCTTGGGCTTGGTGTAGGTCTTCTTCTTACGCTTCTTTGTGCCACTACGGAGACGGAGCACCAGGTGCAGAGTCGGCCGTCCTCCACCACTAAATTATTTTGAAGCTGACTAAAACTAACAGGTAAAAGACAACGATCTGAAGCAAAGATGAGTGTTCAATATATTATCCCATTTGAAGAATGCAATTGAAAATATTATTTGAAGCTGATTAGCTAACAGGTAAAAGACAATGATTTACAAAAGAGATCCTTAATACAAAGTGTTGGAAACATATGAATAAGGTTTGGCAGGAACATGACTTGCACACAGTGTTGGAAACATATCATTTCCTGTATGACTTAATTGTAAGTGATTAAGTTAAATATGTTATCAGTGATATGGTCTACGAGTTCATCAAATATGGTATCAGTTTTCTTATAAAAAGAATATACACCAATGAATTTCCTCTAGTTGACTTGATTTCTGATTCTACGTGTGCCGGTAAGCATTAAAAATGTTAAAAAACTAAAATAATTTCAATGCATATATTTTAATAAGCGCAGCCTAAAGTACACGAATAATTTCAATGCTCATGCTCAATAAGCACACCATAACTCTTATAGTTGTTTTAAAAAATAAATCCAAAGTGGTCATTTGCTTTACTCATCAGTCATCAACTTGTTCAAAAGAATTTGAGACGATGATTTTCTGTTGTAAATGAAAAGGGCCTTAGAGTTGCGAGATAGATTTCTTTATGTTTATACACGTTGCTAGTTGCAAAATTATTTATTTTTCTCTTGTAATAATAATTATTATTATTAAATTTTGTATATTTTTGGTTGGATTTCTGTTAGAATTTCTCTGGACTTTCAAAAAATTAAATGTGATGTGGTCATCGTCGGTGGCTTGATGTCCTGCAAGTAGCATTGCAGCAGAGTTAACACTTCCACATGAGACTAATTAAATAATAAGATCACAATGAGCCCACCATAATCTGAGTTTACTAATATACTCCCACTCTTTATTCATGAATATATTTTCATCTGATTAAGCATCCATTCAGAGGAGGCACTGAAAAATAATCCATACGATGATTGGGCAAGTTTCATCATTTTTTTTTCTAAAAATGACAAGTTTGTGACTTCTTCACGACAATTTATCTTGCACGACTTCTTAACGTTACATGATTGAATCCCCAATCTTTTGCTTGTTGTGCAGTGACAAGGCCGATATCCACTAATCGTTGTTTCCAAATACGGTTGCCGATTGACATCTCTTCTAATTTGTCAATACAAGAAGCAAATTGTTGCGTGGAAGAATCATTACATAAGCCAAGAGGCAAATCTTGTGGCACTCCACCTAGTCATATGAAACTGGCATGCATCCTGACTCTGGAAACTCTTTCATAGAATTCCAACAATTTCTCGTGCTCCTCGAAAGCCCACAAGAAAGGAGTTGATGCTCCCACAATCATAGCATAACAGGTCTGAAAAGACTCACAAAAACATTTTAGCCTTCCTGGACACCAATGTGTGATTCATCAATGCTGGGAGTTGAATTCAAAACGTGCTAGTAGAATACGAGCCTGAAATTCATCCCAACTACTGGGTCACCCCGTTATAGTTGATGATTGGGCAAGTTTCAATAGGATATTGATTTACGCTCTCATTTTCAACTTATGGAGCTGCACTCCTCTCCTTGTATATAGCCCTTCATTCTCTTTTGATTTGTTCAGTCCAAAGTATAAAAAAGAAGGAACGATGAGGGAATAGAGAAAAAAGAGAGTGCGGAAATCCCTCTCTTTTAAACGTATGCTAAACAGTCCAAGAGTCTGTACGTAAATATATATTTCACTCAATAAAATCAACAACTCTTCAGCATGATACAATCTATACTACATAAAGAATAATCAACAACTCTGTTAGGGTATGTGCTCACATTTACTCATGTGCTGCAAAAGGGAATTTGCTTTCCTTTGACCTCTGTTGGTTCCACTTTTAGCCAGCTCCACCAGATGCTCATAAACACCATACTGAAGTGCAGCCAAAATGAAAGACGAATTGTTCAATCCCAGCACCAGAAGAACTGATGCAGCGCATTCCTTGTTCTTGGGTGTCCCGTTCTTGATAATCCTGACCAGGGTTTCAATGAAAGACAGCCGGCCTATTTCATTTCGACCCTCGGGGTGTGATGCAAGGAGTAACAAAATCGAGAGGGCTTCATCCGTCATGCCCAAGTTCTTATCCTCAAGCAAATGAAGCAGTGGCGGTATTAGGCCGGCGTTGATGGCTCTAGACTTGTTGGCTTGGTTTAAAGACAAGTTGAATAGTGCAGTGGCAGCATCCTTTTTTCCACGGACTGTTCCGTTTTGCAGAAGATCTACCAAGGGAGGAATTCCATTCAAAGCCCCCACCAGTACTTTGTTTTCGTCAAGCATCGATAAACTAAACAATGCAGCAGCAGAATTCTCTCTAGCTTCATCTGTTCCATGCTGCAGGATTTCAATTATACCAGGAATAGACCCTTCTCTGGCAATGAGCCTTTTGTTCGCCTCATCAATCGACAAATTTAAAAGCGCTGTCACAGTGTGTTCTTGAATCTTTGAATCCGGATATGAAAGGAGCTTAATCAACTGCGGTATTCCTCCACTGTTAGCAATCAAAATTCTGTTCTCCGGATTCTCCTTAGAGAGCATTCGGATTTTATAAATGGCTTCTTTCAAAACATCCAGCTGACATGAAGACAGATTTTGGACTAAGTAAGATACTTCCTCTATGATTTCAGCAGAAGAGCCATCCGAACCTGCGCAGGGATCCTTCTTGGGAAGTTCATAATTATTCTTCTCACACCATTGACGGATTAGGTTGTTGAGGGCGAAATTTGGCGCTAGGGATAAGTGATCCAACTTTTGTCCTGTCTTTGGGCAGGTGCGATGATTCGAATCCAGCCACTTTTGTATACTTGCTCTATCATAAGTCTTCAGAAAAAAACGCAAGAAAATTTATCTCAGACCCCATGTTATGCACTTGAGAAAATTAAACTATGGTTGGACTTAGAAGGCTATCCGACGCTTAAACTCTAACTTATGATCCATAAACCAAAATGTAAAAATACTTTGAATAAGATGCATTGCCTCTAACATTTCATAAATGGTTATAACTAGTTGCAGAAAGGGTTTAGATGGTCTAATTAAGCAGAAAACAGTTGCCTATCCCGGGGTTAATATCCCAATGCATCTATCACACTCCTCACGTAATTCACGCGAGGAGTGAGTTGGAGACATTGGGGATTTACCCCGTGACAGGTGAGTCGTCCTCATATTCGAGATTACCTGTCCACTTGCGACAATGACAGGATCAGTCATGATCTCCAAAGTAATTGGACAGAGGAATTCATGAGGAATCATCAAAGACTGGCACCTCCTTAGACTTCTAGTCGAAACAGGACCATCGAGCAAGAAATCCTCATAAATCCCTGCAATTTCCTTGAACTTTCCCAGAAGATCAGTGATTTGTTGAATGCTTTCAGCATTATGCCTTGCCGATCTCCTCTTAGCAAGTTTTCTAACCGCCACGGTTTCCTCCTCCAAGTCTGCAATGGAATGAAGTTCCAGCTTATTGGCAAGCCTCTCCAGAATTGCACTGTCTGCATTCCTGCCTTCCTTTTTCTTAGAGAACACGACCATCATGTCCATTGCCAGCTCTATGTCCTGTGTGTCAGCGCGTTTCTTTGCCCGTTTGAGCTGCATTCGCATTAGCTCGACCTGAAATCGACACGAAAAATTGAACATTTTACAAGCACATCGGTAATTAATTAACCCAATATCAGAATTTCCTGTATTGTGACTATTGTCCAATTCTGTTTAAAAAAAAAAAATTGCCACTTTTGATACAAGTACAATATAAACGTTCTTAACCACTTTAGCTACGAATCGGTTGCGAGATTGTTTCAACAGAATTTGAAGATGGCTAAAGCAAAACAAGGAAAAGTTAAAAGGAAAAGGAATCAAAATTACTTGCTCTCTGACTTCGATTGAGATCCCCAGCTCATTGTATGGCATATCATCCAAAGCCTGGCTTAATTTATCATAAACTGCATGAAATCTTCCCATCACTGCCTCACTTTCCAGCGTCTAAAATCATGTTTTAACCACACAAAAATGCAACAAAACCATTAATCTGAGAACCCAAAAAGCCAAAAGCCAATTCTGGAGAGAGAAAGAAAGAAGAGAGAGAGGGAGAGAGAGAAGACTGACCAAGTAAATCTTGCTTCCAGAGCTGCAATTCTTCAGCAACTTCTTAGCTGAAGAAAGTCCATTTTTCAGATTAACCAGAGAATTCAAAGCCTTTGTTGCAGAAATGATCATGACTATGTCCAATTCTTTCATCTCTTCCAGAAGTGGTACCAAAAGCTTCAGCCTTCTCACCAAGTTCACGCACTCCTTCCTGTGTGTTTTCCGAAACCCCGAGTACGATCCAACGGTCTCAATCACTCCCATCAATTCCACAACGACGCCATCGCTACCATCCTCGCCCTTGGTTGAACTGCCAACATTCTTCTTCTCCCCAACTTCCATCATTATCTGCCTCCCTGCCATTTCCCACTAGTACCACTTCACCAGCTATATGTGGCTATAAGCAATACGAAGACCCCTTAAAGGATTTCTTTAAGTCTTACAATCTTCCACTTTTCCCGGACAAATGGTGATTTTCCCGAGAAAGTAATTAAGACCCAATAATTAGTAATTACCTTAATTGTGTAACAAATAGGGCTTAGATTTTTTATGTTTAAAAAATTGATAAAACACAGTTGGTCGCGTAACAAATAGTGCTTATATTTTTATCTTTAATGCATTTAGACTCAAATGGTATATTTAACAAGTATATAACATTTTAATATGTAATGTACCAAAAAATAAAAACAAAATCTATATAAATTTTAAGTCAATTTCTATATATACTAAAACTCAGTTTAGCAGTTCCACTGTTCTTAAATATAATGATGACCTCACGTATCTTGTTCAAAACTGTGTACAAGTTACAACATCGTACATTGTCGCACCAATCACTTTGATACGACTTAGTAAGAGGGTATATTAACATCACACGCTAAACTATATAATCAATGCTCGAACCCACTTTAGAATTTATTGTCTACTTGTCAAAAAAGGAAAACCACAGTCGATCATGATCCGGAAGTCTAGGATTGGTTTTGGGTGCGTGCTTGCTGCATTTTTGGCGGGTTTTTATGACTTTGCCAAGAAAAGAAACAGAAAGATTTGAAAAGCAGTTGCATATGTTTTGCTCATACATGCACGGGGATGGGGATTTGGATTGGGATTGTGGGGCCGGGTCTGGGTCGGTTCACGCGGTTTATTGACAATGTGACGCGTATTCACGTGCAATCATTTTGGATTGGCGTTGCATGTTGTGCTGTCGTGACGTGTCCAATTCTGCACTCTTTTGTTTTTTGAAGGACTTGGGGAGTCCATGGGTGATGGGGTCCCGCGTAGCTCTGATCTTCTTCCACCTTTTGTGGTGGGATTTTAGGGCAAGGAAAATCTGAACGGTGAGTGGTGACTTGGAGTGTTGGAGTGGGACCCTTGTTTTATCATGTATTAGCCGTCCTGATTACGCTCTTAATGATTATATTAGCTGTATGTCAGCATTGTCTGTGCATACAGTTACAGTATATTATGTTGACTATGTAGGAATGAGACTGCATCAGACAAATTAGGGTTTAGGGTTTACAATCCCATAGGTTTTGCTTCTAAGTTAAACCTGGGATAATAATGAGTTGTGAATGTGACAGTCGCTAGGAGAGCCTCGAATGCATTTTAACTAAGATGCAGAGAGTCGTTTATGAGATTTCACGGACCTTATGCGAAATTTATAAAAAGATTCATGCTTAAGATAATTTTTCAAAAAAAAAAAATAATACGATGTATTAATGCTAAAAAACAATAACTTATATCAAAATAAACTTTATGACTCACTAATTATAAGAAATGAGATGTATTATGAAATTCGGTTATGAAAAATGTCTTTCGCACGCGTATAATAATGTGATTAAATTAGTTGTTAAATGATTGGCTTTTTTTTTTGAACAAATGATATTATTCGACTTTTATTTTGTCAATTCACGCATATAAATACATTTAAAACGTGTATTATGAAATTCGTTTGCATCAAAGATCGACATGCAATTACTTGTATGCACACAAATGAATTAATGTCCGTTTGACATGTTCTACCTCTTGAAATCAGGATGACATACGGTACTGATGCATGTAAACGCATGCACCCAGCAGACTAAAGGACTTAGGCTATGTATGGTTAGTTAGAAGTTGAACTGGTAAACCCTAATTAGAATCAAGTTTTATCTAAGAATTTATCACACCTTATCTACACACTGATCTCAGTTTTGTCTAGATGCCCAATTTAGGATGCCGTTAAGGGTTGAATGTCTATCTTTCACATAACCAACGACATGCTAAAATCCATGGAAAATTAAAAAAAAATGAAACTTTCACGCGATAGCCAGCTGATATAATAACCTAATTTCCCTTTTTAACTCAAGGTGAAAGACATACTCTTAGGTAAAAATAGGCATAAAAAAAAAAAAAAAAAAAAAAAAGCTTAGACCGGTATCATATGGGTGCTTGTTGGATGACCTGTTTGTTTACCTTGTGCAAATCATATTCCCAACCTCGCCAAATTTGATCAACACTTGCCGAGCTCAAAGTTGACCTCCCAAAAACACACGTTAACACAAGTGATATACGAGAGAGAACAAAGTTTAGGAGGATGAAGCAGTAGCTTCTAGGCCAAAGTCGAGTCGATACGATCAACAGCCAGTCCAAGTGGAAAGACAGCGAGGCCAATCCGAGCACTAGTGGAATGTCTAAGGAGGCATTTGGAGTCAATGGTTCATTTGGAATAAAGGATTGGATTGAAAGGGATAACGCTCTAAATTCAAGGCATTTGAAAGGTTGATGCAAAAGAGTTTTAATTTTGAGGGGATTAGAAAACGATTAGATATGAATTAAACTTTTTCCTTCTAATGTAAAAGAACTCAAGTTGAAGTACTACTTGGCCTTAAAAAAAAAAAAAGTTGAAGGTGCTAGAATCCGGCCACATGCGATACACAACCAGTTTTAATATCTGCAAGTATAATGTTTTTTTAATTTCCAGTATGGACGAAAAATCTAATTCTCTTCTAATGTGACATCATTTCACTATACGTGTTATAATCAAAGGTTAATTTTTCATACCATCATTTAAAGATTATTTGTATGAAACATACATTAATCTTATATATAAAGTCGACATGCTTTTGAACAGTAATTTTTGGTGTCACATGCTTCACCAAAAAAAATTGGACAAAAATGCCCCGAAAAAAAACTTCAAAAGTAGCCCAAAATAATGCATCAAATGTGGCATTGGTATTTTCATCATTTTAACAGTGTTTTTTTTAATAATTAATTTTTTGTGCAGTTTTTTAAATTATTTTTTATTAGTATCTCACAATAGATTAGCAATAATGTAATTCAATCAGTTGTTCATTAAATATTATTTTCTCTATTTTAAAAAACGTTCAAAACATCTTAAGAGGCTTGTAATGCCGGTTATGAAAAAGGTCTTTCGCACACGCATAATAATGTGATTAAATTAGTTGTCAAATGATTGATTTTTTTTTTTAACAAAAGATATTATTTGACTTTCCTTTTGTCAATTCACGCATATAAATTCATTTAAAATGTGTAAGTCGCGCGTAGCACGACGTAATTCAAAAAATGCCTTATACACGTCCGTGAGCGCTTGCATGAAGACTAGTAATAATAAAATAAACGATTTCAATTTAACATGTGTACGGTAAAATTATCCATAATAGTAAAAACTTAGGATTTACCCCATTGTCGAAAATGAGGCAAGTATTTTCTTAGAACTGGACTTGGCTGCTGATCTTTTCAGCAGCGAAGTTCTATCCATTTCCTTATGTGCAAATACGTGTTGCAATTATTCCCGAAACTGTCTTGATAGTGATTAGCACACGGTTTAAGCCGAGCCTGTGCGTCACTTCAGAAGACATTCAAAATGTTAAATTTGACCCGTTAACAAGGATTCAAAATATTAAATTATGGATTGGGTTGAATCTGCAAAGTGGAAGATTTATGCGTCCGATTTGGGTTAGTCTTCCACGTCAACCTGGACTTCATGCTTGAGGTCTTTGTAATTAAGTCTTCCTAAGGGCCACAAATCGAATGCCGAAGAAAGTTCCGACTTGTGAGTGATTGCCAGCCTCCACATTTGGCATGTCAACAGGTCTTCTTCTCTTCATGTGGTTGCATGATACATGCACTCCCCAAGCTTAATAGGTCAAGTCATTCTTCCCTTCATTTATAACGAATATAAACATTTTTTTTTAGGAGAGAAACGATAGTGAAATTTATTAACATTATCAGAAGAGAGCCTTCTGGATAATATCTGAAAGCTCATGAAACCAACAAGATGCAAAATCAGAAATAGGCCAACTTAGCCAATCTATGTGATACCATATTGACGTTTCTACGAATATGACAAACGCGAGAAGCAACTAAGTTGTTAAACCAGTCATTGTGTCTTTAGTAGTGCTAGTGTGGAGGGCGTCACTTTCAATATCATCATATAAAGATTACCCCCCCCCCCCCACAACAAATATCATGAAAAAGGCTTAGACCGTACATAATGATAAAAGTTATTTATGCATCTGAAGTCTTGTTGTATCAAAAGAAAAATGTCAACACATTTCAAAAAAAAAAAAAAAAAAACACGTCCACATTCCAGCCTAAAAAAATAAAATAAGATACAAGCTTGTATTTCAAATTGATAGCACTTTATAGGCCAATTCACCTTCAGTTTATAGAGGAATATGGGAAAGAAAATTGAATTACTTTGGCAAGAAAAAGGTAAAAACGGGAAACTGAATATGCAATGGAGGTACACACGATACAATTTGATAAGAACTTTGCTGTTCAATATCTCTAGATCTTTCCTTTTCTTGTCTTGCAAAAATGAAGTGAATTCATATTATTTAGGTTGAAACTTGGTCACTTAGTACTACGGTCTAGTGATATTCCTCTTTATTTGTAAGTGAGATGTTTTAAGTTTAATTATTGTGAAAGACAAATTTTAACCACATTATTGCTAGCCTATTATGAGGCTAAACCCATTATCTCTCTCTTTTAGTCTTTTAGTATAAATAATATCGTTTGTTAAAAAAAATGTTAAAAGCTTGAAGGTTCAAACTAAAAATGATAATGTAAAATTAATGCAATTATATATTACCTGATTACATTACGCGATAATTGATTTATAATTGATTTGCTAAAAGATAAGAATTGATATTAGCGCCTTGAAATTATAACCACACGCTTATTTTTTCCTTAACAGTACATTGTTTGGAATTTCAATAATAATTTTAAAATAAACTATTAATTCATATATTTCGTGGATATATTTATAGTAAATTTATTTTTTGTGAGGAACATGTGGCATGGGGAGCTTGTATGAGAATAGGGACAGTTTCCTCAGTGCTGTAGAGCGTATCTGCTAAATTTCCAAAAATGACCCTAGGAAAAAGCCAAATCATTAGCTTAGAGCGTAGTAAACGGGCTTATTATTACAGACAAAAAGGTCAAAGGCCCAGCCCAACGCAAAAAAAAACCGGACCGGAGGCCTTCATAAAACATTTGAAATTATATAAGGCACAAAGCACAAAAGCCAGGTAGCCGTTGGAGACAGA